CGCCTGGTAAATGCTTTCGTCCATCTTTTCCTGTTTTAATCGTTTTCTTCCGATGGTGTTACTAATAGCATGAATTTTAAAAAAATTACAAAATACATTTTTCAAAGTTTTATAAATCGGTCCTCTGTATCAAATAACTTCATTGTACTCAGCAACTTTAACTCGTCTTGTCTTGAAACAAAAAGTCGCTTGGATCTCTAACGAGCCTACATATAATATGCTATCTATTTGAACCTTTTTCCAACAGCTCGTTTGATTTCAGAAACGTGGCATGACCTTTTTGAGGATACAGAGTCCAATTTGATTTATAGATTATATGTTCATAGTCTAACTGGTTGATATTTTTAAAGGCACGCAGTTTCTCTCTTTCTCTCTATTTGGTCACCACGTGATCATTTCTTCATGCCTTCTAGTCTAGGCTTTGAAACGAAAAGTGGGAAACGCTTTTTAAGATACTTCAAAAGGAAGCGGAGGAATATTCCGTACTTTCCACCAAATTTGGCAGTGGTTAGCTCACCGAAGATATTCCCTGTTGCATCGGCCAACATCTCCTTCTTGACGTCTTTAGAGCACGTTTCGTTTCTATTGATGATGGGGCCTGACACCTTCGCAACTTGGCCAGGTGATGCGGGGCACTCGTCTTCAGGTTCATCCGACGTCTCAGTTTTCTTCTTAGCACTGGTCAGCTCACCGATGAATTGCCCTGTTACATCGGCCAAAATCTCCTTCTTGAGGTCTTTAGAGCACGTTTCGTTCCTATTGATGTAGGGGCCTGACACCTTTGCATCTTGGCCAGGTGATGTGGGGCACTCGTCTTCAGGTTCATCCGACGTCTCAGTTTTCTTCTTAGCACTGGTCAGCTCACCGATGAATTGCCCTGTTACATTGGCCAACATCTCCTTCTTGACGTCTTTAGAGTATGTTTCGTTCTTACTGATGAAGGGGACTGACACCTTTGCAACTTGGCCAGGTGATGTGGGGCACTCTTCATCGGGCTCATCCGAAGTCTTAGTTTTCTTAGTACTGGTTAGCTCAACAATGAATTGCCCTGATACATCGCTTACTATCTCCTTAAAGATTTCTTCAGAGAAGGTTTCGTTCGCATTGATGGAGGGGCCTGACACCTTTGCACCTTGGCCAGGTGATGTGGGGCACTCCTCTTTAGTTTTCATCTCAATTTTCTCAAAACAGCGGCTCAATTTTTTTTTGTCAAAGCCACTTTCTTTCAATTTTCCTCCTGATTCTTTGATTGCATTCCTTTCTTCGATGGTTAAAGACTGACAAACGTTGCCATCTTTCCTTACTTTGCTTTCTTCGTTTCCTTCACCAGAGGTGGAGGAAAGTGAAATGCGATCGACATTTGCCATTAGGAAAGCAGCTTTTGCGTTCCTGTTGATACGTTTGAAAGCTGCGATCCAAAATGCTGTCAACCAATCTTCTCTATCTGGAAGTCTTGGATCATCCAACTCTCCGGCTGGCGTAAATGGCACATTAGTCACGGTGATCTCTGGTACCCTATGGCAACCAAATGTTTGTTTATCGCTTTCTTGAAACATAAAAAGCGATTATTGAAAACGGTTACTTCAGGTACGTCACCCGTCTTCTTAGTTGGCGATAATGGAACTTCGTTTGCAAAGGTTAAAACCACAAGAGCATGTTCCCAAAGTTTCTCCCCCAAGGCTTCTGTAAGCTTCCTCATCGTTTCCAAGTCGTCGGTCCGGAATCGCTTACTGGTCATCTCAGTGCAGAATAGAAACAAGTCTAAGTGGGTTACTTTCTCCTTGATTTTCCGCAGGTATTCTTCATCACTGCCGGTTGCGTCTGCAAGTCCTGGAGTGTCGAACACTGTAATAGTTACGCCGTTTCTGACAACCTCGTAAGCAGTTATCTAAGGGGAATAAACAGGAAATAATTAGGCCATTTAACTCTAACAGTGATTTACTTATGATCTGACCTGGAATGTTACCTAAGTTACACGAGAGAAATGCATGAAAATTTTTTTTATTCTTAAGTGCGCCCTGTTTCTAAATGAGACCTTGGAAAGTGGTTTTTTTCTTATCCCTCAAATAACGTTTTTACCTAATACCTGCAAAAGCACTCCATAATTCTTTCTTGATTTCAAGTATTAAAGAACAGAGGGAGTTTAGACATGCTGCTGAAAAGGATGCAAAATATTATCATTACTTTTCCCAACTACAAGTAATACACAGTACCCGTTAATGAAATAACCTCATAATAGTTTAAAAGGTGAATTAACTGTCGATATCAAAGTAGCTTACGTCATCAGTTTGTGGGTCGATGTCATATCCTTCTACCGCAAGGTTTTCTCCAATGAGCGCATTTGTCAAATGTGACTTGCCAACTCCTGTCTTGCCACTCAGTAGAATATTAACAGTCTGGCCACCGGAGCTAAGAAACTGTTCGATCTGATACTTCAAGTTCTTTCCACCAAATATAATCTGACTAACTTCAGTTGCGGAGGCATCGGAACTTTTATCTGGGGTCCCTTCCTGTGCCATTCTTGATAGTAAATGAAATAAATTAATTTTTATTAATGTAAAGAGGAGGAAAATAAACCATGTGTAAATTGACCGAACCATGATGGATAGAGAAGTTGAATGAAAAATTTAGTAAGCATTGTCAAAATAATAATACGTTGTTTGTTTTCTTCAGCCAAAAGATTATGACGTCAACATAAATACTTTTCGGACAGCATCTGGCATCAATTGGATCATTAAGTGATTTTCGCTTACAAGTGCGTCATTCGTATCACAGCCTTTAAAGAGGTGATTTGTTTAAACGGTTTTGAGTCATTTATTTCCACTTGGGATCAGTCGCCTGACAACTGGTTATGTGCTACATGACAGAAGAGTAGAATGCAAGAAACTTTACACGGCAAGGAAAATTTAAATAAATCTTAACTTTGCTTGCGCTAATTTCACCTCATCCGATTTGCTGTGGTATTGACACTTTGATACATTGATCACTTCAAGCATTCAAACCTTCAACCTGTATTTCATCCTCTTCAATCTAAAAAGTATTTAATATTGATCAAATTCGGTGGTCAATAATTTGAGTGTTCTGCGTTTTTTCTCTATTTAGTTTACATTGAGAGTGCGCTTATTTATACATATAAATTATACAAACAAGCTATATTTGTGACCTTAAGGTATTGAATGTTAGTCGATGTTTTGATAATCCGTTGACCTCGTAACCTTATCTATCAGTCGTGTAATCTTATAAAGCTTTTCTTGAGAAAAGGACGCGAGGATTCTTAGAAACTCAGTTCGCTTTAAGAGTGCTCTTGGATTTTCTATCAAATTGTACAGACAAGCTAAGGTTTCTGTGACCCTATAAGCCAAGTACTGTTCAATATTTTGGTAATCTGTGAGCTTTTTGTTATTAATCTTATTTTTGTCAATCGTTATCAAACAACGCGGTTATCGAGAAAAGGACGCGAGGTTCTTGGAACCTTACTTCGCTTTCAGAGTACTCTTACTTTTTCTTTTACATTATACAAACATGCTATCTTTGTGACTATGAGACGCTGAGTTTTGGTCAATATTTTAGTCATCTGTTGCCTTTGTTGGTAACCTCATCTGTCAGTCTTTGATTAAACGACGCTGGTAGCGAGAAAAGCACGCGAGGATTCTTGATAAAAAAACAAACATCTTACAACAAATTATCGAACAAAGATTCGTTGAAAAAATGTTTCGGAATAAGTTTAAAACTGTCCAAAACCCGTTAAAGACTATTTCTTCTTGATGACAAGCGAAAGTAATTTGCGCTATCTATATTTTACTCCATTTTGGCCCGCAAAATCGGCTCGAACTTCTCCAAACGTGGATCACGTATCGTAAGATGTTAAAGATGCTATTTCAACCAGTGTTGTTTAATTCGTAACGGCGACAACTAGTGCATACCTGAACAAATGCAAACCGTATCGAAAGATACAAAAGAATACGCGACAGACGGCATGTGCTTGTAAGACTCTCGTTACACGTTGCATGGCATATCTTTGCAGAATTTCTTTAGCAACGCTGAATGTCTGTGATGTACTGTTAGATATCCATCAATGCAAATCAGTCGCATAAATAAATTCATACAGCCTACCTTCAAAGGCAAGGCAAATGCTCGTTTATTCTTGTACTTCCGGGTTTCAATCTCAAAGTCTTTCGTGAAGATGTCTAACAACCACACCGGTATCTCAGACGGTCTCGAAGAGGGCAGTGTAAGTTACCTTAGTGATCTAGTGCATTATAGCACGTTAACAAAACAAGTCGAAGGCGAAGAACGGGGAAGAGGTCTGGGGAAGCGTAACTGTTGTGACTGAGTTTGACGCTTACACGGTCATTACACTTCATCTTCTATTGCGTTTCTTCCGTTGTTATTTGGTATTTTGTGACTCAATAAACAGTTTCCTAGAAAGTTTTGAAGATAATTAATAGCACTATGGTCATTGTAGGGATGCATGTAATAAATAACCCCATATCAACAATGATATACATAGTCGCCAACTTACTAAATTTAACATAGAAATACTGCTGTGATTGTGCTGCTGTAATTGTTTCGTTCAATCTTATCCACTGTTTCAATTTCTAACAGTTCACTCCTCTGCCCCCTCAGTGATCTGTCTATTTCTAAGTCAAATTTGCTCTTTTTCACATTGGAACATTATTTGCATCAAATTGATAAAAGAGCTATTTGTAGCAATATGACCATCCGCACCATTTGTTTGTCTTTATACAAGGAAATTTCACTATATCAGAACAGATCGTTTGCTTGGTTATAAAGTATTAATGATTCATACGAAACAAATGGAAACCATTATAATCAAGCCCTAAATCATTCTAACTCTCCCTATGTCTTTATAAAGTTCATCCGTGAGTTTGGTAAGAGATGGAAACTAATGACGAGTAATTTCTTTGAATTTGTGGCATCCACAAATCGACAGCTTCTCCATTGTTTCTATAAGTCGTCTTTACGAAATCTTGTACCACTCATCTCAGTACAGAACAAAATTTTTTCTCTGTGATCTTTCTTATACATTCTTCGTCACTGCCTTTCGTATCTGCCAGTCCTGGAATGTCAAACACCGTAATCTTCACGTTGTTCTTTAAAAATTCATAAGCTCTCACCTAAAATTATAAATCATAGGACTTAAGCTGCATAGTCTTCAAGGATATACTAATAATAATATAATGATCGAGATATTATGGAAACAAACTCTTTAAGACAAATTGTTCATATTAGTACCAGGGTTTGTACCTGAGGCTGAAGGAAGATCCTTCTCGTGAATATCTCGCCAACAGAAAGTCTTGAACTCTCAAGACCGTTGGAACTAACCTGGAACCGATTTTAGCTTGAACTAAATTATTGTCACGTTACTTGGGTATTTTTTCCTCACGCTTGCTGCACTTCATGCCCTCTGCTCCTACCTTGCAATATCATTATGAAGAATGTTACGAGGGCAATTGATTCCCACTTCGTATAGCTCAATTTTCATGTACGAATCCTTAAATCAATTTTCAATTTTTTATTCCAATATCACGTTTATAAGTGCATGATCAAAATGTAACTAAAGCTTTCTATTCTTTAATAATTTAATAAAAATCTCTTCCCTCCGCAGCAAGCCGTTCACTGATTAGAGCATTCGTCAAGTGAGATTTCCCAACTCCTGTTCCACCGATTAAAAATATTTTGATAGCCTTGCCACGGCAAAACATCATCAGTTGATCCAGTTGATACATGAGACTTCTCGTACTGAGTAACTTCTGCTGTTCTTCCTCTCCAGCAAAAGATCTTGATCTTCTTCTCAGGGCTCCCTTCTCCGCCATTTCAACATAAACTATGTCAAAACAAATGTATGATATTCATTGATTTGAGAGAAAAGTGAAATTGGTGATCTTTTGTTACAGTTAAATTTATATTTGAATCATCCTCATAGAGCATATACACTCCAATTAAATTTTCATTGGTACAGAAATAGGTCAGATTTTTACAAAAAAAAGTGGCCGAAGGAAATCAGGATAATTAAGCAGAGCTAGAAAGTTCCAGACTTGGAGGCCAGAAGGAAAAATCCTATAGTGTGATAAAAACTATAGATAACTTCATAGATTGGAGCGTGACTGAAGGCCGAAGCATATTCCTCCCTTGCAAATCATTCCCTATTTCACTTCTGCTTCTACGTAAAAGATATGAGTATGAAGATCTGCATGATTCAGGTCAGTCTTTCTTATCTAAGAAAGCAACTTTCTGAAATGGGCTGAATAATTTTTTTTACAAAGCAGGTCACATTACTGTAACTGAAACGAAGCATTGTTAAAACGAAAGTAAACATGCCCGCAGTCATCTCTCATATCATCTACGCTTTTAATGAGCTTTTTGAGTTATTCCTCTTCCCGCGAAAATCAGTCTTATTAAACGTAACTGAACGTTGATTAAGCAGCGATCAGACAGGATGCGAAAGAAAGGTAAAAAAGGTAGTCGCGCGAAATTCTTCGGGAGACATTTCCGGCAAAGGTTGACCCCACCATACCGTGACAATTTACAAGTCAAAATGATAAAATTATAGCTGAGGACAAATGTATAAGAAATGAACTGAAGTGATGCTGGCTTTCTCCAAATAGCGAAATGAAGCATTCCGCTTGTGCAACAGTTTGAAGCGTTGAACTAGTCAAGCGTTTCCAGTTCTGTGAACTGACCTTGTGGACCGATTGTTAGGATTTTTTTCTAAAGGGGACTACGAAGAACAGTTGGTTCTACTGCGTACTCCAAAAAAGTAAGTGTGGTGTAACTTTGCAGTGTCAACACAGACCTTGTTGTATAATGTGATTCATTCAGTGATCTGAGAAAATCGAAATTCCCAGAGCGAGTCAAAAGTATTTATGGCTCCACTTTGGGTGGCTAGAGACGAACAGTTATATTATATTAAGAGGTGTAAAAGTGGAGAGATTTGGGCAGCTAAAACCATACATCAATTGAAACGATATGAAAGACAAGAAATCCAACACGATTGTGGATGTACACCGATATGAAAGACAAGAAATCCTACATGATTGTGTATGTACAGCGATATGAACGACAAGAAATCCTACACGATTGTGGATGTACAGCGGATTTGTGTCGATCGTTTCAAAAGGTTAGATGGTATAAGAAAATGAAAGGTGCAGTTTGACTCTAGTTGGAATAAGAAGGGGGGGGGAGTGGGAACACAGAGGGAACAGAGAGGTATCATTCTTTCCTTTAAAACTATAAAGGGGGGACCATAGACAATTTCCTGTCAATGAGTGGGATTCATTAGAACCCTACAGAACCTTTGGATTAAAACAGAAGAAATTAAATGCATGTGCCCTAACCTTCAAGGCCTGACTGTTAGGAATTTATCTAAAAGAGACTGTGGAGAACAGCTGGTTCTACTGCGCACACAAGCAAAGGAAATGTGATGTAACTTTGTGGTGTCAACACAGAACTTTTTGTATCATGTGATTTATAAAGTAATCTGAGAAATGCGAGAGTCCTGGAGGGGGTATGAAAAGTATTAAAAAAAACTGTTTGCAGGGTCTGAAAAGACAAAGTAAGTTGTTTACTTTTTCTTACTTTTTTTTCAGGTAAGATATTAAAAAATATTATTACCAAAACTGAAATTAAAAAGAGTAACCAATTAAAGCATTAATATAAGAATTAACACAATTTGGGCACTAAAAGGGGTCACTCTGTATTAAGCAAATAACAAATCTGAAAATGGCTTAATTTTCCTTTAAAAAAAAATGGGAATTTATCGTGGCAATTAAATCTCAACGTTACTTGTCCACATTTTGTCCTACTACAAAACTTCATATATCAGGTGCTTTTCTCAAAACTGTATTAATTAAACAAATAATAGTCTTCAATCTTGGCTATATTTATCATTGCTACTTAATACATATTTCAGAAGTCAATGAGTTACATGAACGACATAAGCGAATAAAATCTAAAAAATGATAAACAAAATGGTTCAAGCAGCTGTAGTTCTTGACATACAGACACCAATGATATCACCATCAAAGCTAACAGATCACTTACAACTTATAAAGTATTTGGAGTGACCTATGGCCACAACAATCATTTCAAATCAGCAATGTGCCTGCCTTCGCCCTTAGTACCACAGGCCGGATGGTACGAGTATGATGGCCCATAGGAACATCATCAAAGAGGATCAGGAGTTCGTTACTGTGGAATCGCAAAAAAGGCCGCCACACCCTTTGCCTATTCCCTGTCGTATGCCCTTTAGTTGCGTCAGTAGCTGCCAAAAAATTTTAAAAGGTGGGTGGAGCGTATATCGACAAAATAAGTAGCTATAGCACTAGTGATTACGTTATTCGTAAAATATTTCAATAAGGCAATGGTAATATTTAGCACAAATAAAAAACACTGAAAAAAAGGGAAAAAATTGTTTGCACGAAGATGATGTCGGAAAAAATTTTTTACAGAAGAAAATTTCTCATATCCCCCTCCAGAAAAAAAGAATCTGTCCCTTAAAAAATTTTATAATTCCAGGTTGGGAGGCCAGAGCCAAATCATTTAATTTTCTGAAGAAGTGTTAAAGCGGAGAGAGTTACACAGCTAAAAAAACATCAAGGAAACGGTTTTAAAGACAAGAAGTCCTTCACGATTGTGGATATACACCGATACGAAAGACAATTAAGAAATCCTACACGATTGAGGATTTTAGGGGAACACAAAGTTTTCAGAGAGAACGGAGGAGTATCAGTCTTTCCTCGAAAACTATAAAAAGCGGACTATAGACAATTGCCTGTCAATGAGGGGGGTTCATTAGAACCCTACAGAGCCTTTGAGGAAGGGGGGAAATCAGGTAGATTTTATTATGACACAACCCCATCCCCCCCTCAGGTGATAAATAATGGTCGGTCTTATAAAAGCTAAAAGCTTGATACGAAACAGGCACAAGTAGGCACAGAGGATATATAGATTCAAGCGGGCCTTGTTTGCTCTTCAGAACTGTGTGATGAGGAAATTAAACAACGATGGAGTCGAAGAAGGCTTTCTCCTATCAAAGTTCACAAACGCCTGATAAATACTGTTGTCCATCTTTTCCCGTTTTAATCATTTTCTCCCGATGGTGTTACTAATAACATGAATTTAAAAAAAAATTACAAAAGACATTTTTCAAAGTTTTATAAATCGGTCCTCTGTATCAAATAACTTCATTGTACTTAGCAACTTTAACTAGTCTTATCTTGTGACAAAAAATCGCTTGGACCTCTAACGAGCCCACATATTATATGTTGCCTATTTGAACCATTTTTCTATAGCACGTTTGATTTCAGAAACATGGCATGAACCTTTTAAGCATACAGAGTCCAATTTGATTTATAGATTATATGTTCATAGTCTAACTGGTTGATATTTTTAAAGGCATACAGTTTCTCTCTTTCTCTCTGTTTGGTCACCACGTGATCATTTTTTCATGCCTTCTGGTCTAGACTTTGAAGCTGAAGTTGGGAAAAACTTCCTAATATACTTCATAACGAAGCCGAGGAATATTTGGTACTTTCCACCAAATTTAGCAGTGGTTAGCTCACCGATGAATTTCCCTGTTGCATCGGCCAACATCTCCTTCTTGATGTCTTTAGAGCACGTTTCGTTTCTATTGATGAAGGGGCCTGACACCTTTGCAACTTGGCCAGGTGATGTGGGGCACTCGTCTTCAGGTTCATCTGACGTCTCAGTTTTTTCCTTAGCACTGGTCAGCTCACCGATGAATTTCCCTTCTACATCGGCCAACATCTCCTTCTTGATGTCTTTAGAGCACGTTTCGTTCCTATTGATGAAGGGGCCTGACACCTTTGCATCTTGGCCAGGTGATGTGGGGCACTCGTCTTCAGGTTCATCCGACGTCTCAGTTTTCTTCTTAGCACTGGTCAGCTGAACCATGCATTGCCCTGTTACATCGGCCAACATCTCCTTCTTGACGTCTTTAGGGTACGTTTCATTCCTATTGATGAACGGACCTGACACCTTTGCGACTTGGCCAGGTGATGTGGGGCGCTCCTCTTCGGGTCCATCCGAAGTCTCAGTTTTCCTAGCACTGGTCAGCTCAGCCATGAATTTCCCGCTTATTATCTCCTTAATGATCTCTTCAGAGAAAGTTTCGTTCGCATTGATAGAGGGGCCTGACACCTCTGCATCTTGGCCAGGGGATGTGGGGCACTCCTCTTTAGTTTTCATCTCCAATTTCTCAAAACAGCGGCTCAATTTTTTGTCAAAGTCGCTTTCTTTCAATTTTCCTCCTGATTCTTTAATTGCATTCCTTTCTTCGATGGTTAAAGATTGACAAACGTTGCCATCTTTCCTTACTTTGCTTTCTTCGTTTCCTTCACCAGAGGTGGAGGAAAGTGAAATGCGATCAATATTTGCCATTAGGAAAGCAGCTTTTGCGTTCCTGTTGACACGTTTGAAAGCTGCGATCCAAAATGCTGTCAACCAATCTTCTCTATCTGGAAGTCTTGGATCATCCAACTCTCCGGCTGGCGTAAATGGCACATTAATCACAGTTATCTCAGGTACTCCTATGGCAACTAAATGTTTGTTTATCGCTTTCTTGAAACGTAAAAAGCGATCATTGAAAACGGTTACTTCAGGTACGTCACCCGTCTTCTTGGTTGGCGATAATGGAACTTCGTTTGCAAAGGTTAAAACCACAAGAGCATGATCCCAAAGTTTCTCCCCCAAGGCTTCTGTAAGCTTCCTCATCGTTTCCAAGTCGTCGGTGCGGAATCGCTTACTGGTCATCTCAGTGCAGAAGAGAAACAAGTCCAAGTGAGTTACTTTCTCCTTGATTTTCCGCAGATATTTTTCATCATTGCCGGTTGCGTCTGCAAGTCCTGGAGTGTCAAACACTGTGATAGTTACGCCGTTTCTGACAACCTCGTAAGCAGTTACCTAAGGGACATAAAACAGGAAATAATTAGGCCATTTAACTCTAACAGTGATTTACTTATGATATGACTTGGTATGTTACCTCAGTTACACGAGAGAAATGCATGAAAACTTTTTATTCATAAGTGCGCCCTGTTTCTAAATGAGACCTTGGAAAGTGGTTTTTTCTTATCCCTCAAGTAACTTTTTACCTAATACCTGTAAAAGCATTCCATAATTCTTTCTTGATTTCAAGTATTAAAGAACAGAGGGAGTTTAGACATACTGCTGAAAAGGATACAAAATGTCATTATTTTTCCCATCTTCAAGTAATACACAGTAACCCGTTAATGAAAGCACCTCATAATTGTTTAAAAGGTGAATTAACTGTCGATATCAAAGTAGCTTACGTCATCAGTTTGTGGGTCGATGTCATATCCTTCTACCGCAAGGTTTTCTCCAATGAGCGCATTTGTCAAATGTGACTTGCCAACTCCTGTCTTGCCACTCAGTAGAATATTAACAGTCTGGCCACCTGAGCTAAGAAACTGTTCGATCTGATATTTCAAGTTGTTTTCACCAAATATAATCTGACTAACTTCAGTTGCGGAGGCATCGGAACTTTTATCTGGGGTCCCTTCCTGTGCCATTCTTGATAATAAATGAAATAAATTAATTTTTATTAATGTAAAGAGGAGGAAAATAAACCATGTGTAAATTGACCGAACCAAGATGGATAGAAAAGTAGAATGAAAAATTTAGTAAGCATTGTCAAAATAATAATACGCTGTTTGTTTTCTTCAGCCATGAGATTATGACGTCAACATAAATACTTTTCGGACAGCATCTGGTATCAATTGGATCATTAAGTGATTTTCGCTTACAAGTGCGTCATTCGTATCACAGCCTTTAAAGAGTTGATTTGTTTAAACAGTTTTGAGTCATTTATTTCCATTTGGGATCAGTCGCCTGACAACTGGTCATGTGCTACACGACAGAAGAGTAGAATGCAAGAAAATTTTCTCGGCAGTGAAAAATTTAGATAAATCTTAACTTTGCTTGCGCTAATTTCACCTCATCCGATTTGCTGTGGTATTGACACTTTGATACATTGATAACTTCAAACATTCAAACCTTCAACCTGTATTTCATCCTCTTCAATCTAAAAAGTATTTAATATTGATCAAATTCGGTGGTCAATAATTTGACTGCTCTGCGTTTTTTTCTCTATTTAGTTTACATTGAGAGTGCGCTTATTTATACATATAAATTATTCAAACATGCTACATTTGTGACCTTAAGATGTTGAATGTTAGTCGATATTTTGATAATCCGTTGGCCTAGTAACCTTATCTATCAGTCGTGTAATCTTATAAAGCTTTTCTCGAGAAAAGGACGCGAGGATTCTTAGAACCTAGGTTCGCTTTAAGAGTGCTCTTGGATTTTCTATCAAATTGTACAAACAAGCTAAGGTTTCTGTGACCCTATAAGCCAAGTACTGTTCAATATTTTGGTAATCTGTGAGCTTTTGTTATTAACCTTATTTTTGTCAGTCTTTATCAAACAACGCGGTTATCGAGAAAAGGACGCGAGGTTCTTGGAACCTTACTTCGCTTTCAGAGTACTCTTACTTTTTCTTTTAAATTATATAAACAAGCTATTTTTGTGACTATGAGACGCTGAGTTTTGGTCAATATTTTAGTCATCTGTTGCCTTTGTTGGTAACCTCATCTGTCAGTCTTTGATTAAACGACGCTGGTATCGAGAAAAGCACGCGAGGATTCTTGATAAAAAAACAAACATCTTACAACAAATCATCGAACAAAGATTCGTTGAAGAAATGTTTCGGAATAAGTGTAAAACTGTCCTAACCCCGTTAAAAACTATTTCTTCTTGATGACAAGCGAAAGTAATTTATGCTATCTATATTTTACTCCATTTTGGTTCTCCAAATCGGCTCGAACTTCTCCATGTGACGTGGATCACGTATCGTAAGATGTTAAAGATGCTATTTCAACCAGTGTTGTTTAATTCGTAATGGCGACAACTTGTGCATACCTGAAGAAATGTAAACCGAATTTTGTCGATTTATCGAAAGATACAAAAGAATACGCGACAGACGGCATGTGCTTATAAGACTCTCGTTACGCATTGCATGGCATATCTTTGCAGAATTTCTTTAGCAACGCTGAATGTCTGTGATGTACTGTTAGATATCCATCAATGCAAATCAGTCGCATAAATAAATTCATACAACCTACCTTCAAAGGCAAGGCAAATGCTCGTTTATTCTTGTACTTCCGGGTTTCAATCTCAGAGTCTTTTGTGAAGATGTTTAACAACCACACCGGTATCTCAGACGGTCTCGAAGAGGGCAGTGTAAGTTACCTTTGCGATGTAGTGCATTATAGCGCGTAACACGAGAAACTAAAGCACAGTCTCCACAATTAACGCGGCCAGCAGTTAACAAAACAAGTCGAAGACGAAGAACGGGGAAGAGGTCTGGGGAAGCGTAACTATTATGATTGATTTTGACGCTTACACGGTCATTACACTGCATCTTCTATTGTGTTTCTTCCGTTGTTATTTGGTATTTTGTGACTCAATAAACAGTTTCCTTGCAAGTTTTGAAGACAATTAATAGTACCATGGTCATTGTAGGATGGATATAATAAATAACCCTATATCAACAATGATATAAATAGTCGCCAACTTACCAAATTTAACATGGAAATACTGCTGTGATTGTGCTGTTGTAATTGTTTCGTTCAATGTTATTCACTGTTTCAATTTCTAACAGTTCACTCCTCTGCCCCCTCAGTGATCTATCTGTTTCTATGGCTTCGTTCAGTTAAAAAAGTCAAATTTGCTCTTTTTCACATTGGAACATTTTTTAAATCAAATTGATAAAAGGGCTATTTTTGGCGGTGTGGCCATCTGCACCATTTGTTTGTCTTTATACAGGGAAATTTCACTATATCAGAACAGATCAATTGCTTGCTTATTTAGTATTAATGATTCATGGGGATCCAATGGAAACCATCAAAATCAAGCCCTAAATCATTCTAACTCTCCCAGTGTTGTTATAAAGTTTATCTTGTGTTTGATAAAATATAGAAACTAATGACGAGCATATGCGATCTTTGAATTTTTTGCCTAAATATTTGTACTAATATGACACGCCGTTCTAATGATCTGTGCGGGTTTGGGTGTTTCGAACAAGTAGTTTACTGTAAAGACCCTTGGCTCCTAGTTTCTTCCTCTTAGTGCTTCTTTCGAAAAAATGTCTTCAGATATTTAATAATCTAAGGAAGGAACGTTTGATGATAGCGATTGATCGCTTTGGTGCCATCATGACTGTCGGTCGCATCCCCTACAATTTCTCAAACGATTCTTCGAGGAGAAGTTTGGTCCAAGCATATGGAATGAGAAACACTATTTTCAGCCTTTTTACCTTCAGGTAGTATTTCAGGCAGTCTTTTAGCTTCTCCATGTTTGGGCGGGACATCCACAAAATTTTCCACAATCACGTAGTGGAACGTATGCTAATGGCAGCGCTTTCGGGTTTCTCTTCGTCGAAAATTCGAGCTATGAGAAAATTAAAGTCAATCAGCATTTGATAGGAGAAAAGCAGCCTTTGCTACTCTGCTGATGCGTTTGAACGCCGTCACCCAAAATACTGTCTTGAGGGATTCCCCTCAATGACATCCTCTTCAGGCATTCCACAGTTGTGGTCAGGGCTTGCCGAAATGTCTTCTTCAGACTTCGAAACTGTTCATTAAACACCTCTTTATCAGATACAACTTCCACCTTCTCGCTTGGTGATGCAAAAACCATGTAAAACCATTGGAACCAACCTGGAACCGATTTTAGCTTGAACTAAATTCTTGTCACGTTACCTGAGTATTTTTCCTCACGCTTGCAGCATGGGTAATCTCGCTTCATGCTCCTACCTTGCAATATCATTTTGAAGAATGTTGCGGGGGCATTTGACTCCTACTTCATATGGCTCAAGTTTCTTGTCCGAATCCTTAGATTAATTTTCAATTTTTCATTCCGTCCAGTATCACGTTTATAAGTGATCAAAATTCAACTAAAGCTTTCTATAAGTTATTAATTCTGTAAAACCTGCCTCAGCGGTTTTTGGATCAACATCTTTTCCCTCCACAGCATGCTGTTAGCCGATCAGAGCATTCGTCAAGTGAGATCTCCCAACTCCTGTTTCACCGATTAAAAGAATTTTGATAGCCTTGCCACGGCAAAACATCATTAGTTGATCCAGTTGATACTTGAGACTTCTCGTATTGAATAACTTCTGCTGTCCTTCCTTTCTAGCAAAAGTTCTTGATCTTATTTTCATTATCCGTCATCTCAATATAAACTATGTTAAAACAAATGTATTATATTCATTGATGTGAGAAAAAAGTGAAATTGATGATCTTTTGTTACAGTTAAATTTTATTTTTGAATCATCCTTATAGAGCGTTTACCGTACACTATAATTTTCATTGGTACAGAAACAGCTCAGATTTTTTTTAAAAAATGCTGCAGATTCTTTTAAAAAACACTGACTGTAATAATTCAGGATAAGGAAAGGAAAGGAAAGTTTCAGACTCGGAAGCCAGGCGGGAAAATTCTACAGTGGACGCTAAAAAACCATAGAAAACTTCATAGATTGGAGCGTGACTGAAGTCCGAAGCATATTCCTCCCTTCTATTTCTACCCAAAAGATATGAGCCTGAAGATCTGCATGACTCAGGCCAGTCTTTCTTAACTAAGAAAGCAACTTTCTGAAATGGGCTGAATAATGTGTTTACAAAACAGGTCACGTTACGAAGATTTACATAAGGCCTAAAACATAATCGTTCATTGTGTAAACGAAACTTTGTTAAAACGAAATGAAACATGCCCGCGGTCATCTCTTATATAAGTTTTTCTTGATTGTATCTACGTTAATAATGAGCTTTTTGTGTTGTTCCTCTTTCCGTGAGAATCAGTCCTATTGAACATAATTGAACGTTGATCAAGTAGCGATCAGACAGTCGCGCGAAATTCTTTGGGAGACATTTCCGGCAAAGGTTGACCCTTCCGTACCGTGACAACTTACAAGTCAAAATAATAAATTATAGCTGAGGGAAAATGGATAAGCATTGAATTGAAGTGATGCTGCCTTTTTCAAAATAGCTACATCAAGCATTCCGCTTGTGCAACAGTTTGCAGCGTTGAACTAGTCAAACGTTTCCACCAAAAGGAGCGATTTTTGTTATTTACCCGGGAGGCAATCAATGTTCACGATAAAGAGCGAAGTGTGACTTAACTTTGCCGTGTCAACACAGACCTTTTTGTATCGTGTGATTCATAAAGTAATCTGAGAAATGCAAAGGTCCCGGAGAGAGCAAAGACAATTTATAATTCCAGGTTGGGTGGCTAAGGACGAACCATGGAATTTTATTAAGAGGTGTTAGAGTGGAGAGAGTTAGGCAGCTAAAACTATGCCTTAAAAGGTTAGGTGGTATAAGAAGATGAAAGGTACAGTTTCACTCTGGTTGGAACAAGAGGGGGGGGGAAGATGGGAGGATTTAAGGGAAACACAAAGTTTTCAGAGGGAGTGGAGGAGGTATTATTCTCTCCTTGAAAACTATAAAGGGGGGGGGACTATAGACAATCGCCTGTCAATGCAAGGGGTTTCATTAGAACCCTACAGAACCTTAGGGGGGTGAGGAATCAGGTAAAGTTTATTATGACACAACCAAATCCCTCCCGTCCCCCCACCTCCCCTGACGATCAATAATGGCCGGTTTCATAGAAGCTTGGTAGGAAACAGGTACAAGTAGGCACAGAGGATATATAGATTCAGGCGGGCTTTGTTTACTCTTCAGTACCGTATAATGAGGTAATTAAACAACGAAGGACTCGGACAAGGCTTCTCCTATCAAAGTTCACAAACGTCCGGTAAATACTTTTGTCCACCTTTTCCGGTAAAATTCAGGCACGGAAACAAGAACTCTATAACCTTTTTCTTTTGATGGTTTTACTAATAACACAAATTTAAGGCTAAAAGACTTCTACCTTTGTAGAATATTTGTTATGTGACATGGAGGAGTAACTTCTTGTGATAACACCCGGCCTAATGAGCGTACTGATCAGAACGAATGGCAAATTGTTAGCAAGAGAAAGAAAACCAAGAAGAGTAAAACACAGAAACAGGGAAACGATGAGGTACAGTCCAACTCCAACTCTCTCGGAAGATTCTGTGCCAGAGAAAGGTAGCACAACTCTGTTAATTGGACACCCTATGATAAAAAATATCCAAGGTACAAAGTTAGGAGAGGCCGTTGGCCATTGAGTAGTTGTACAACCGTTCTCTGGTGCAACTACAAAAGCTATGAAAGACTACCTTAAACCCAATCTGGAGTTTTCACAAGACCAAGTCAGCCTTCATGTCGGCGCCAATGACCTTGAACAAAGAGAGCCGCGACACGTTGCTAACTCGATTATAGATCTCGCCAGACAAATTGTGAACTCATCTGAAGCCACAGTTGCACTTTCTGAGCTTGTTTCCGGATGAAACCAACTCAACGGGGCGGTAAAAACAACGAAAAAATATCTGAAGAGCTATACTGCCGGCAGAACGGATGGAAATTTAATCGGTAGCATCAAAATATCATAGAAACGGAACTAAACAGGGGCGGTCTATATCTCAATTTTAAAGGTAATCAAAAAATTTTTTAAGAACTTTCAAACATGCTTAGATTGAAACAACACGCTGCCCACCTGTCATCACTGCCCGACGCACAAAAAGCAATACTGAGGAATCTCGTATATTAAATCAAGGCAGTAAAGAGGCTGCCTCATTATTGCCATCTCAACGCGGTTTTAAATTAGCCTCCTTGAACATTAGTAAATTAACTACTCACATCGATGAACTTAGAATTTTTGTAGCATATTACAATAGATACCTTATCGATTTATGAAACCAAGTTGAATGAAACTATTAGCGACAACGAGGTTAACATCTTAGGCTACGATTTAGTTCGACATTACAGAACTACAGACGCTGGGGGAGGAGTATGCTTTTTTATGCTCATCGGTTCAAGGCAGAGATTAAGTACTCTCGCAGTTTCTCCGACGATCACAATTTATGACAATCAAGTTAGCCAGGTCACCACCGCAAAATCATTTGGAGTGACCATCGATAACAAGCTCGATTGGAGCAGTCACATCGATAAAACAACAAAGAAAGTCGCTTCTGGCATTGGGGCTATAAAACGAATAAGGCACCTTGTCTCTCAAGCGACTTTGCTGCTAATATATCAAGCTCTGATTCAGCCACATTTTGACTATTGTAATATTGTTTGGGGAAGGTACAGAAACTACAAAACGGAGCAGCACATGTTTTGACTTATTCAAATTATGACGCCGATGCTGGTTACTTGCTTAAGCTCTTGAGATGGAAAAACCTAGCTTCCCAGCAGCAAATACAAAGAGCCACAATGGTCTATAAGTCTCTGCATGGTTTAGCTCCAGATTATTTATGTTCTAAATTTGAAAGGCGAGAAACTGCGTACAACCTATGGGACCCTGAGAATAAGCTTAATGTTCCTTTGCCGCGCACAAACTATTACAAAAGTAGCTTTCGTTATAGTGGCACCACTCTTTGGAACAGACTTCCTCGTGACATGAGACAAGCAAAATCCCTCGGGTTATTTAAGCGTTTAATTAGGGAAGACGTTCAGGCGCAGCATTCGTGGAAAGCACCTTTAGTTAGGTTTGTGCTTTAAGTATAGTTTTTATAGTATCTTATCCATTTAATGCATGTTTATATATTTGAATGTTTTTATGGCTGATGAATTGTCCGTGGATAAATAAAGATTATCTATCTATCTATCTATCTATCTATCTATCTATCTATCTAGACAAATCATAAATGACATTTTCCAAAGTTTAATCAATCGGTTCTCTGTATCAAATAACTTCATTGTACTCAACAACTTTATCTGTAGATGCTTCAAACTCATCTTATCTTGTAAAAAAAAAAGCTTGGACCTCTAACGAGCCTACATATAACATGCAATCTATCTGAACCTTTTTACTACAGCACACTGATTTAATTTCAGAAACGTGACATGAACCTTTTAAGTATACAGAGTTCATTTTCGTTAACTGATTATATGTCGATAGTCTAACTGGTTGATATTTTAAAGGCACACAGTTTCTCTCTTTTTCACGCTGTTGGTCCCATCTGATTATTCCTTAATACCTTCTGGTCTATCCTTTAAAGCCAAAGTGGGTCGAGAAGTTGGGAAAAACTTCTTAAAATACTTCATAAACCAGCCGAAGAATGTTTGGTACTTTCTACCAAACTTAGCACCGGTCAGCTCACCGATGAAGTTCCCTGTTACGTTGCCCAACATCTCCTTAATAAGGTCTTCAGAGTACGTTTCGTCCACATTTATAGAGGGGCCTGACACCTTTGCAACTTGGCCAGGTGATGTGGCGTACTCCTCTTCTGGTTCATCTGACGTCCCAGTTTTCTCCAAACAGCGGCTCAACTCTTCGTCAAAGTTTAGCTCTTTCAATTTTGCTCTGATTTCTTTAATTGCATTACTTTCTTCGATGGATAAATTACTGGACTGGCCAAGATTGACAACGTTGGCATCTTTCCTTACTTTGCTTTCGTTTCCCTCACCAAGGGTGGAGGAAAATAAAATACGATCGACATTTGCCATTAGGAAAGCAGCTTTTGCGTTCCTGTTGATACGTTTGAAAGCCGCGATCCAAAATGCTGTCAACCAGTCTTCTCTATCTGGAAGTCTTGGATCATCCAACTCTCCGGCTGGCGTAAATGGCACATTAGTCACTGTTATCTCAGGTACTCCGATTGCAACCAAATGTTTCTTTATTGCTTTCTTGAAAGCTAAGTAGCGGTCATTGAAAACGGTTACTTCAGGTGCGTCAGCCGTCTTCTTGGTTGGAGATAGTGAGACTTCGTTAGCAAAGGTTAAAACCACCAGAGCATGATCCCAAAGTTTCTCCCCCAAGGCTTCTGTAAGCTTCTTTATCGTTTCCAAGTCGTCGGTGCGGAATCGCTTACTGGTCATCTCAGTGCAGAATAGAAACAAGTCGAAGTGGGTTACTTTCTCCTTGATTTTCCGCAGATATTCTTCATCATTGCCGGTTGCGTCTGCAAGTCCTGGAGTGTCAAACACTGTGATAGTTACGCCGTTTTTGACAACCTCGTAAGCAGTTACCTGGAGGACATAAAACTGGAAATTAATACAACATTTAACTCTAACAGTTATTTCGTTATGATATGTCTTGGTATGTTACCTCAGTTGCGGGAAATAAATGCTTGAAAAAGTTTTATTCATAGGAAAGACCTTTCTGTCTAAGAGACATTGGAAAGAAGTTGTTTCTTACCTTTCGAGTAACTTTGAACCTAACACCTGTAGAGGCATTCGATAATTCTTTCTTGATTTCAAGTATCAAAGATGGGTATTTTCCGAAGAAAATGAGAACAAATAGAGTTTAGACATGCTGCTCGAAAGGACGCGAAATATTATCCATTTTCTTTATACAAGTAATGCACAGTAACCCGTTGATGAAAGCACCTCATAATAGTCTAAAAGGTTAAGTAACTGTCAATATCAAAGTAGCTTACGTCATTAGTTTGTGGGTCGATGTCATATCCTTCTGCTGCAAGGTTTTCTCCAATGAGCGCATTTGTCAGATGTGACTTGCCAACCCCTGTCTTGCCACTCAGGAGGATATTAACAGTCTGGCCACCGGAACTGACAAACTGTTCGATCTGATACTCCAAGTTTTTTGCACCAAATATAATCTGACTAACTTCAGTTGCCGAGGCATCAGAACTTTTCTCTGGGGTCCCTTCCTGTGCCATTCTTGATAACAAAGTCTGAAATAAAATGATATTTACTAAATAAATGTAAAGAAGAAGAAAATAAACTATGTGTAGATTGACTAGACCATGATGGATAGAAAAGTAGAAAGAAATATTTAGTAAGCATCGTCAAAGTAATAATACGCTGTTTGTTTCCCTTAGCCAAAAGATTATGTCGCCGACATAAATACTTTTCGGAAAGCATCCGGCATCAATTGGATAATTAAGTGATTTTTGCTCACACGTGCGTCATTCGTGTCACAGCCTTTAAAGAGTTGATTTGTTCAAACACTTTGGAGACATTTATGAAGATGTAAGTACTTAGTTGTTGATAACAACGAGAAATCAAAATTCGGCTGCTGATACTCTGACAGTCAGATGTTTTATTTTCATTAGGGATCAGTCGCCTGACTACCGGTCAGGTGCTACCCAACGGAAGAGTAGAATGCAAGAAAATTTACACCGCCGTGAAAAAATTAGATAAATCTTAAATTTAATTTGCTTGCACTCAATTCACCTTATCCGATTTGGTGTGGTATTGACACTTTAACGCATTGATCAGTTCAGGCATTCAATCCTTAAACCTGTATTTTATTCTCTTCGATCTAAAAACATATTTGTTTTTCATCAAATTCGGGCGTCAAAACTCAGAGTGCTTTGTTCTCCATTTAGTTTTACTTTTTTTAAGTATGCGTTTGGTTTTTCTTTCAAATTATTCAAATAGGCCATTTTTCTGACTCCGAGATGTTGACTGTTAGTCAGTATTTTGGTAATCTGTTGGCCTGGTAACCATATCTATCAGTTGTGAAATCGTGTAAGGCTGTTCTCGAGAGAAGCCGGGAAGCGAGCATTCTTGGAAGCTCAGTTCGCTTTAAGAGTGCTCTTGGATTTTCTATCAAATTGTACAAACAAGAAAAAGTTTCTGTGACCCAATAAGCCAAGTACTGTTAACTATTTTGATAATCTGTGGGATATTGTTATTAACCTTATTTTTGTCAGTCGTTATCAAACAACGCGGTCATCGAGAAAGAGACGCGAGGTTCTTGGAATCTTACTTCGCTTTTAAAGTACTCTTAGTTCTTCTTTTAAATTGTACGAACAGGCTATTTGACCTAGTTTTTTCTTTTAAATTATACAAAAAGGCTATTTTTGTGACCATAAGAAGCTGAGTTTTGGTCAATATTTTGGTCATCTTTTGCCTTTTGTTGACAAACTTATCAGTCAGTCGTTTATTAAACAACGCTGGTATCGAGAAAAAGACGCGAGGATTCTTGGAAAAAGAACAAACATCTTACAACAAATTATCTCACAAAGATTCGTCGAAAAATGTCTCGGAATAAGTTTAAAACTGTCCAAACCCCGTTAAAAATTATTTTTTTTTTGGTGACGAGCGAAAGTAGTTCGTGTTACTGATATCGATAACAATATATTACTCCATTTTGGCCTGCAAAATCGGCTCGAACTTCTTCAAGCGTGGATCGCGTATCGTATTCTAATAAAGCTGCTATTTTAACTAGTGTTGTTTAATTCGAAACGGCGACAACTAGTGAAGACCTGAACAAATATAAACCGAATTTTTCGATGTATTGAGGGACACTAAAGAATACACGACAGACGGCATTTGCTTGTGAGACTCTCGTGACGCGTTGCATAGCTTATCTTTGCAGAATTTCTTTAGCCACGCTGAATGCTTGTGATGTACTGTTCTATTAGATGTTGATCGGCAAATCAGTTGCTCAAATAAATTAATTCAAGTAACTTACCTTGAAAGATAATGCAAATTCTCGTTTATTCTCGTATTTGCGGGTTTCAGTCTCAAAGTCTTTCGTGAAGATGTTTGACAACCCCACTGGTATCTCAGACGGTCTCGAAGAGGGCTGTGTGAGTTACCTTAGCGAAGCGGTGCATTATAATTCGTAACACGAGAAACTAATACACAGGCTCCGCAGTTAACGCGGTCAGCAGTTGACAAAACAATTCGAAGGCGAAGAACGGGAAAGAGGTCTGGGAAGGCATAACTGTTGTGATTGAATTTGACGCTTGCACAATCATTGCACTGCATCTTCTATTTTCTTTCTTTTTGTCCTATGGTATTTTTGACTCGATAAACAGTTTTTCAGCAAGTTTTGGAGACAATTAATAGTACTATGGTCATTGTAGGGATGGATACAAAAATGACGATTCTATCATCATGGTCTATAAGGAAAAGTAATTTTCTATTCCATCTTGCCTCAACAAGGCTTTGCTTTTCGTATCGGCTTTAGTTTCTATAAGAGTTGTTGCGGGGCAAAGGATAACAGCAAATATTCCGGCAAAAGGCTAAGAGAAAAATGAACACTGAAAACATTAAATGCTCTCGTGAGCGCTACTTGCAGTCACTTTCTTGTACTTATGTCTTGATTATATCACGTTGTACGCATTCAATGTCTCACGTGTGCCATAAGTGTGAGTCAGTGATAACAAAAATCACCCGGGAGACTTGACAAATTCATACGTCAAGTTCTATTATAAGGTCATCCCAACCCAAAGGTATGTAATTCTTCCGGTCAAAGATCATGCTAAGAACTGTTAGAGCAGCCAAAGTACAACGAACTTTAATACATGTCTCTTTTATCTCATGCTAAACTTGTTGTTTGTTTGTTTTTTGCTTATTTTTAGTACATGTAAAGACCGTGGAAGGTATGGTTTGACTCCAGTTGAAGTAAGAGGAGGGAGGGGGGGGGAGGAGTGGGAGGATTTTAGGAGGAACACAAACTTTTAAGAGGGAACGGAGGGGGTATCAGTCTTTCCTTGAAAACTATGAAGGGGGACTATAGACAATTGCCTGTTGACGAGGGGGGTTCATTAGAACCCTACAGAGCCTATGGGGAGGGGGGATAAAATCAGGAAAATTTTATTATGACACAACCAAAATCCTCCCTTCCCCCCAGTCCCCCAGCGATAAATAATTTTCTAGAAGCTAGAAGCTTGATGGGAAACAGGCACAAGTAGGCACAGAGAATATATAGATTCAAGCGGGCTTTGTTTGCTCTTCAGAACTGTATAATGAGGTGATTAAACAACAAAGGACTCGGAGAAGGCTTCCTCCCATTAAAGTTCACAAACGCTTGGTAAATACTCTTGTCCATCTTTTCTCGTAACATTCAGGTACGGAAACAAAAACTCTATAATCATTTTCTTCTGATGGCGTTATGGCTGTTATTGATAACACAAATTAAAGACAAATCACGAATGACATTGTTCAAAGTTTAATAAATCGGTCTTCTTTATCAAATGGCTTTATTGCTTTGCTATTTGTTTATGTGATATTCATGGCTTCAAGCCAGCTTGACCTTGTGTCTCAAAGAGAATAATTTCGCCATACTGAATAATTTGGTCTGCAAAATCTGAAGCTCGAAAAGTGACAACAGGAGACCCGATCGAAGTAATTCGTCGTATATAAAGATTGAACGATTCACGTCACTCAAAGCTTCTACCCTTCAGTTCGACTATGAATATTATCTCAGAGTAATTTGATTATATTTCACGGTGCGTGAGTACTGATCGAATTTTCGTGTACTTTCTGCCTCGACTATCATAGTAGCAGTTTATAAATTTGAGCAAGTACTGAAACATTTTCGTTCACTAAACCCGCGTTGATAAGAAGGCCTACCTTTGTCAAAGAGGGTTTTCCGTAGCTTTTTACGACATAAGTATAGTGCAAGGTCATTGCAGAATCAAAGCCAGTGGAAACAAAATTAGTATTCCACGAAAGATCAACATGCGCTTATTCTCGGAAATCGTACCAAGTATGGCATTTCAAAAGAGATTCATATCCACTATTAACATTTCCGTTGAGCGTGTTCACTGCATTTAAGTGAAGCATGCAATCAAATACTGAATTGTATGTAGTTTACAGCTTGATAGGCATGCTTTGTGTATATCATTAGCGCGTCGGTTGGGGATCAAGTGATAGGTTTACCCTGGAGGGTTGACTACACAGTTGCACAGTTGTCTGCTACGAAATCTTCCGTGGGCTGTTTTATCTTGCCAGTCGTACCGGAGCCCTCTGCCGATTGTATTAGCTTTTCGTACGTGATTATACTTCTAAGGATGTGTAATTTATCTAAGATTTCATTTATGCCGTGGTTTCAATCGCTGTTATTCGAATATAAGTCTTCAACGTCGTCCGCCGGAATATAAAAGAGTGGAGGTAAATATCCTGCTAGTTGCAGTGTGTAGTACTTTCAGTATTGTAAAACTAGTCTTCGGTTCTTTCTTCAATAAAACACTGGTTGTGGTTAAACTGAGTGATACTTGGAAAGGATTGTCATGCCAGTCGGCGTTCGGGCTTTGTTATCTGACTTTGAAATGGTATACGAAAATACTACTGATTCTACACTGATTTGACGCCGATTGTACGAAAATGATCACGTTATTCGATCATTTACCGTTTTGAAAATGCTGTGTCCAACACGAAGTGACTGAAGCTTTCAGTTCAACAGATGCGTTGACGCCTTAATTGCATGCATGGTTGAATTCGTTGCAGCTTAGAATTAGCGTCTAGCGGGGGGGGGGGAAGGAGAAAGGAGAAGGGGGGAAAAGACTGGGAGTTGGCCACGGCCTCCCACTTTTTGTACTACGTTCTACTCCCGTACTTTTGTGTTCCTCTGCCTCCCGACTCCCGCCCTCCATTGTATTACCCCCGCCTTCAGGTTTAATAGGCAGCTAAAACTATACATCAAGCTTTCAGTTCAACAGATGCGTAAACACCTTGATTGCATACTTGATTAAATTTGATGCAGCTTAGAATTAGTGTCTAGCGGGGGGAGGGACTGAGAGTTGGTCACAGCCTCCCACTCACGTACTACGTTCTCTCGTCTCCTGTATTTTTGTGTTCCTCTGCCTCCCGACTTCCGCCTTCCATTGTATTGCCCCCGCCGTCAGGTTAATAGGCGGCTAAAACCATACATCAAGGAAACGATATCAAAAAAAAAAAATCCTACACGATCGTGAACATGAAAGACAAGAAATCCCACGTGATTGCGGTTAAGGACCGATATGAAAGACGAGAAATCCTACACGATTGTGGACATATGAAAGATATGAAAAAAAAAAAATCCTACACGACTGTCATCATACACAATCATGAAAGACGAGAAATCCTGCGCGATTGTGGATATACAGCGGGTTTGTGTCAAACGTTTCAAAAGGTCAGGTGGTATACGACCATTAAAGATGCGGTTTGACTCTAGTTTAAATAAGAGGGGGAGAGTGGGAGGATTTTATGAGGAACACAAAGGGGGTATCAGTCTTTCCTTAAAGAAGGGACCATAGAAAATTGCCTATCAATGAGTGGATTCATTAGAACCCTACAAAGCCTTTGAAGGGGATCAGATAAATTCTATCATGACACAACGAAAATCCTTCTGTCCTCCCACCCCCCAGGCGATAAATAATGGCCGGTCTCATAGAAGATAGAAGCTTGATAGGAAACAGGCACAAGTAGGCACATAGAATAAACAGATTCAATCGGGCCTTGTTTGCTCTTCAGAACTGCATAATGAGGAAATTAAACAACGAAGTACTCGGACAAGGCTTTCTCCTATCAAAGTTCACAAACACCTGGTGAATACTTTCACTTTCCCATTAAAATTCAGGCACGGAGACAAAAACTCTATAGTCCTTTCCTTTTGATGGTGTTACTGATAACACTAATTAAAGACAAATCACAAATGACATTTTCCAAAGTTTAATGAATCGGTCTTCTAAATCTGAATCAAATAGCTTCATTTTACTCAGCAACTTTATATGCAGATGCTTGAAACTCGGCTTATCTTGTAACAAAAAAAACGCTTGGACCTCTAACGATCCTACATATAACATGCAACCTATCCGACCCTTTTTTTCTACAGTGCATTTGTTTTCAGAAATATGGCATGAACCTTTTAAGTATACAAAGTTCATTCTCTTTGATAGATTATATGTTCAAAGTCTAAGTGGTTGATATTCTCAATGGCACACGGTTTACCTCTTTTCACTCTTTTGGTGATCATTCCTTCTTGCTCTCTGGCCTATCCTTTAAAGCTAAAGTGGGTCGAGAAGTTGGGAAAAACTTCTTAAAATACTTCGTAAACCAGCCGAAGAATGTTTGGTACTTTCTACCAAACTTAGCACCGGTCAGCGCACCGATGAGGTTCCCTGTTACATCGCCAAACATATCCTTAAAAAGGCCTTCAGAGCACGTTTCGTCCACCTTGATGGAGGGGCCTGACACCTTCGCACCTTGACCAGGTGATGTGGGACAATCTTCTTCAGGTTCATCGGACGTCTCAGTTTTCTTCAAACAGCGGCTCAACTCTTCGTCAAAGGCGTTCTCTTTCAATTTTGCTCTTAATTCTGTAATTGCATTATTTTCTTCGATGGATACTTTGCTTTCTTCGTTTCCCTCGCCAATGGTGGAGGAAAATAAAATACGATCGACATTTGCCATCAGGAAAGCAGCTTTTGCGTTCCTGTTGATACGTTTGAAAGCTGCGATCCAAAATGCTGTCAACCAGTCTTCTCTATCTGGAAGTCTTGGGTCATCCAACTCTCCGGCCGGCGTAAATGGCAGATTAGTCACTGTGATTTCAGCTACTCCTATATCAAACAAATGTTTCTTTATCGTTCTCTTGAAAGCTAAGAAGCGGTCATTGAAAACGGTTACTTCGGGTACGTCAGCCGTCTTCTTGGTTGGAGATAGAGGGACTTCGTTGGCGAAGGTTAAAACCACCAGAGCATGTTCCCAAAGTTTTCTCCCCAAGGCTTCTGTAAGCTTCTTTATCGTTTCCAAGTCGTCGGTGCGGAATCGCTTAGTGGTCATCTCAATGCAGAACAGAAACAGGTCGAAGTGGGTTACTTTCTCCTTGATTTTCCGCAGATATTCTTCATCATTGCCGGTTGCGTCTGCAAGTCCTGGAGTGTCGAACACTGTGATAGTCACGCCGTTTTTGACAACCTCGTAAGCATTTACCTAAAGGACATAAAACAGGAAATTAATACAACATTTAACTCTAACAGAGATTTCATTATGATATGTCTTGGTATGTTACCTCAGTTGCGGGAGAAAATTACATGAAAACGTCTTATTCGTAAGAAAGCCCTGTCTGTCTTGGAAACTGGTTTTTACTTATTCTTCGAGCAACCTTTTTACCTAAAACCTATAGAAACATTCCATAATTCTTTCTTGATTTTAAGTATCAAAGATGGGACTTTCCGGAAGAAAATGGGTACAAATGGAATTTAGACATGCCGAGAAGGACGCGAAATATTATTCCTTTTCCTATCTACAAGTAATACACAGTAACCCGTTAATGAAAGCACCTCATAATAGCGAAGTTCGCAGCCTGCGTATGTAGCATAGCCCCTATAATCATACGAAATAGTAGTAACCCATCAAGCCGATAAAGTCTGGACTTACGAATGTACGGGCGTCCGTACAAGGCGCTACTTTTAGCATGCGCGCCAACTGTACTGCGGGCACTATCTTGGCCATTACGTAATGGAAGGGCGAAGGAGAAGGTAATTCGCAGGCACGATTGCGTGCGTAACATGGATACCCCATTAGTGTGCGCTAGGAGACACCAGCAGATGACAATGAAGTGCTCATATTCGAGTACTTTAGTTTAGTGCACCGGGGACACACGGTTAGGCACCACACGAGGGCTTCACGTGGGCTAGTAGATGTGAAGCCGCGTAAGGAAATAATTTGCAACCCGCGTTTTGAGCAGGAAATCAAACTAGTGAGATTGTAGTTGAACAGTAATTCTTAGTATTTTGCAATCTCTAATCAACTCGCAGAGCAACAATACCGGCAGAGCTTTGTCAACCAAAGGAAATTGTTATAATTCAAGTGAGTGGAGAGAGGGTTTTGAGTGAAAAGCACATGCATATGGTTGGCGTAAATAATTGCTACATTTTTCGAATTCAGGAGCAGTTTTTAGGAGTCCGTTTCTGTAACCTTCCTGGATATTTTCTGCTGAATTCATTGAGGTACAATCTCGGAATTTCATAAGTGCTAATGAACGATAAATTCGTATCGGCTCTATAATTTTGGGAAGTTCTGTTAACACATTTTCCACAATTCGTGAACCATTTCTCTAACCTGCCTAGATGTTTTCTCTTGAATTGATTGAGTCAAACCCAAGGAATTTAATCAGTAATTAAGAACGATTAATACGTATATGTAGCACAAGTCAAGCACATTTTAAACTTTCCATTCGATTTCAAGGAACTATACTTCATTGCCTCTCGATAAATTGGCATAGCATACTTTATTAATTATTTTATTATTTTGTAGCTCCAAAAGCCCGGCTTATACCCCTGGAGGTACTGAACTTGATATATTTGATACACAAGGCAGCCTTTAAGGAGGAAGGTTAGAATAAAATCGCTTTTACGACAGTATATTACACCCAGTTTCTAAATGTCGATAATTGCTTTAAAAAAATTCTTATTATAGCTGTATTCAGAAGCATAGATATGTAAGTAATATGCTTCTGCTCTATTTTATGGTAGCAGTTTCTTTTTGTGTAACATATATCTATTCCCTTAATTTCCTCCTTAACCTGCCTGCAAATAATTAAATTTTTTGTTTTAATTCAAGTGTGAGAAGATAAATACTGAATATCAGTATCCGTACAGAATTCAGGTGAGAACATCAGTAAATTAGTTAATGTTATATGCTTCTTCTGAATCTTTAATTTTATTGCCCTGGTTTTTTTTTTCACAAAGCCTCTTTTATATCTCTGTGAGCCAGCTAATAATTAAAATTTCACTGAACTGATATGCCATAATTCAGTAGTTTTTTTAAATTCAGCTTTAAGTTTTTGGCATTTACTATTTTAAAATTCAGGAATGGCATTCCCTTTTCATCCTTGTAAAGAGATGTTACATATTTCTTTAACTAAAATCTGAATCATGAAGTCAACTTAATTTCAATGAGTTTGAAACTATATACCACATAAGAACACTTTACTGGAGCATAATGTTATATTTCTTCACTGTCTTTCTGGTACATATGATTACTGAGTGTCTTAGCCCTTTAACTCCCAAGATTTCATTAGTAATTCTCCATACTATCTGCCATACAATTAATGTGATGTTAGTTCTGAGAATTTGGAATTGGATCAACCAGTTATCCCCTTATTGATATTTTTCTTTATTCTCATTACTTGCCTGCTTCTTACTGTACTGATAGTGTGAGGAGAAATTCTGTCTAAGTCACTTAAAATATTCTTATGCTTTCAAATGTAAAAAAAAAATGTGATGAGAATCTGATGTTATGAAATACTTACATTGGAAAAACCTGTTGCTGGTAGCTTATCTTCAGTGTTTAAATGTTCATAGAAAATGCTTTTCTGTAAAAATGGGGATACAGAAATTTTCAAAGCTGATAGAAATAAGTTGTTGGCAAGTAATGAAAAGTAAATTGACAATTATACCTTAATGCTTCACATGCTTCACTCATACATGTCAGTTGTGTGTACCCACCATTGTAGAGGTGTCTTTTAAAAATATTTTTGGTGTGACTGTTGTTCTTTGTTGATATTTGGAGCCAAAAAAGCTACTTAACCTTTCAACTCCTGTGAGTGACCAAGACAGAATTTCCCCTTACTATATCTTTACAATATCATGCAGACAAGTGATGCAAATAAAGAAAGAATATATCAATTATGGGATTACTAATTGATCTGATACCAAATTCTCCACACTAACATAATGAGAATCATTTGGCAGACAGTAAGGAGAATTAATCTAGAGATCTAATGGGAGTTAAAGGGTTAAGCACTGAACTTCAATTTTTTGTACACATGGCACCATCCAATTAAGGTGGAAGAGTAGAAGACCATAGAATGATGTTTAATATGCACTTTCACTTACCACAATCATTTATTCAAGCAATACTCTTCATAGATAAAACTGATCGCATGATGTCTTAAACCCTTTACACCCTAACATCAGTGCATAGTCTCCATACTGTACTCTATACATTTTATAATTAATGTGCTGGCAAGGAGAATTTTTTTAACAATCAAGAGGTTCTTCAGTTGATTATCATTTCTTTTATTCTCATGACCTTAATGTTTGATTCAGGGTGATATTGAAAAGAGAAATTAGATGTTAGTCACTCTCAGGGATTAAAGTGTTATTAACTGTACACTTTTCATATGCTCCTCACATTTGTGATTGTTAGGAAAGCAAACAAATGATTGAACAGAAGACAGTGAAATGATGGAAACTGTAAACTTTACCATAAGATAAAAATATCACAGAATACTTAGGAAGGGAAGCTTGAATTGTGCTAGCTAATTTCCTCTAATGCCCATGTTTTTAATCAAATAAAAATTAATCAGTTGTAGAGTTTGTAATGTGTCAAATTACCAGTGTGGACTTGATTCTTCTCAGATGTCAGCTGGTAAAAGATAGATCCTAAAATAGATGACCATAAGAAAAAGTACACATCATAAAATATCACACTGAAGTGGTGGCATGACCGATTTGTGATATTTAGAATGACAGAAGAAGGAAAACCCATTGAGCTTTCCTATTCACCAGCAAGTTAATTAGATTTTGGATTCTACATTCAAACTGGGTGAGATTAAATTTATTCATATCATGCTTCATTATGGTTTGTTTACCCAGAAAGCTTATTGTTATTGTAGCTTCACAGATGTTTTTGTTGCTGTCACAATTAACATTCATAACAAAGTTTCATTTAACATAGAATGTTTCAAGAACTTAATCTTCCTTTCTTTTCAATACCATTTACCATTTCTGGAGCACAATTAAAGGTAGCTGGTTATTAAATAAATTATAACTTTTGATTCAGGTAATTATTTGAATATGCAAATGTTTTCATATGTAACAGGATGATCAAGCTGAAGATAGCCTCAAAAAGGAGTGAACTCCACTGTTACAATTAGGCGACTAATTTGGAAACTTAAGCACTTGGTAGATACACCTTGGCTTGCAGTTCTGATGATTACAGTTTGCTGAGGTAATTGGAATGTTAGTTCCCGTGCAGGAACCTTCCACATGACCTGTACGGTCATACACCATGAGATAACTTTAGAAAAATGCATTTGTGTCAGTAGAACTATTGTAAGTAGAGTACCATCTAGTGACAAAAATGAATGATTTCCTATAAGCATGAATGTTTAGGAGAAGTTAGGGTGGTAATTGGCCGTTTTTTTGCCAAGATGCATAGGGTCTGATGATTGTAATGTTTATCTTTTAGCTTTCAAACTTTCAACCTTGTAATAATTGTTACTGTTTACCATATCTATTTCCTTGTACCTTAAGCCCTCAAAAGTTGAAGCAGGTGAGTCAATAACCTGACTTCTTTTGTTTGGAATTGTGTGATTATATAATTTTGCTTTGTAAGTTACCACATTGTAACATGCAATATTATTATTTAGATTGCATTAAATACTCTTGCTCAAGCTTTCATTAATGTATGTGTTTCTTACCAATGTTCATACCCAAACTCGACATTGATATAAAGAATTGGTCACAAGATATGTGAGTTCTAAAGGGTGGGGATCTGGAAAAGCGAGGATCCTCCTTTAATTAGGACTGAAATTAATAGGGGATCCTTGATCCTTTATTAATTCATGTTTTTGCTATGACCTGCCTCCTCCCCTGTAATGTTTTAGGGCACATAAATGAAGAGAACATTTTTTGTATTTTGATCCATGAAAGTTAGTTAATTGGCATCAACATGCAAAGTTAAAAACTTACACTAAGAGAGTTATGCAGACCACATCTTACTTTTTATCCTCCTCTGGATATCTATTCAAATAACATAGTCACTATCAGTCTCATTCTGTCACTTTCCCCCAAGCTTGTGGAAGATGATAGCAGGAGTATTTCTTTAAATGAAGAAAGGAAAGCCTGCCCTTTTACCAAAGATAGTTCTTTTGTGCATTATCAGTACAAACCTAATCTAATTTGTATATGAAGTTGATTGTTCCAGATAGGCTAACCTCATAAATTAGTGGTGACAATTTCTTGAACCTGTCGTCATGTTAATGTTTGACTCAATTTTACCTCACTAAACTAGACTGAGTAAATAGAAACTTGAAATTTGTTTGTTCTCTTTTTGAGGTGTGCATAAAAATTTCAAAGACATTGTAGGCTCGAAATAAAGGTTTATAAGAAATCTGCATTGTGTGTGTTTTGAACATATAAAACCAGGATTATGCCTACTTCAAATGACTTTACTATGTGCTGTACAGGTACAGGCAGGTGTTGTAAAAAAGTTTGCTTAGCTTTTTCATTAGTAAATATTCCTTTTTCTAAGAATCGTGTTTATCTGGCCCATGCTGAATTCTAATTCTTCAACCAAATTTTATTTTCTTTTGAATATTCTCAGATCCCTCATATCAGTAAATATTCATGTAATTTAAACAATTTCATGAAATCTTGCAGAAGTATGGCACATTATTTTTTTTTCTCTGATCCTCCTAACATTTTATTGTGTGTAGGGATTGGTATTGGTTATAAAAAAGTATAGTCAAATAAAAGTTTTGTGCACAGCCTATACATTAAATTTATGTAATAAAATATTGTATCCTTCTTAAAACCAGTTTATTGGAATAAGAATGAGTTACCAAGCACAAGTATGGCTTTCACAATTATAGTTTCCAGGTTTGAAAAAAGGCACTGCCTACTAAAATCCTCAGTTCCTTTGCCCTGACAGCCCAACCTCATCAAAACATTGCCAACAGGAGTGATTAGCAAATAAATGATACCGACAAGAGAGCCTATTCCCACATACACCCTCTATCCTGTTAGCGTATTATGGACATGTCATTTCAAACATGGTGTATATGCCACACATTTTCCATTTAATTTATAACGAATTATTTTGAAATAGTGTTTAAAAGTTGTGGAATATGGTTGGGTTGAAATGTAATACAAAGACCTACCAGTAGATAGTCAAATGAAAACCTTTTACATATCAATAAAGTTTATAGTTGCGTTTCATGTTAACATGTTGCAAAACTCCACCTTCCAGTAAATTCAATTATTTGCAAACATGAGAAAATACCATTTAAAACTTCTCAACGCCGTGTATATCCAGCCAGAGGACAGTCATTGAACAAGAATAGCCAAAAGAGAAAAGGTTTAGAAAAATAAAGGTTCAAACACGAGTTGGAAATTACTTTTTTTTTAATTTTCTACGCTAAACAGAGGAGGTTGAAACGTTAGGGAAAAACGTTGGGGCAAGCAGTCATACCTGACAACTTCAAGAGAAGATTTAAGAGAAGCCCATACGATTCTGGCGCACTGTTTTACTGACTCAAAGTGTTCTTCAGTCGACTAGTAATGTCTTAATTAACGCGAAGTAGTTTACTGTCCTTAATTTCTTTCAATTTCGACTCATTTTCCCGCACCGAAATTATAAGTCACGTTCAATAGAATATAATTTCAACTGACGCTGACATCATAGACTTTACCTGAAGACGAAAACATTCCCTATCTTCGAAAATTTTATCAAAAACTCAGAAGCAACAACAAAGGTTCTCAGTTGCTTGAAGACACCGCTCACTAACATGCTATGCGTGTTGATCGCTTTGCAATTTGTGAGAACGTCGTCCCCAGTTTCCAGACCTCGTCAATTCTTCCCTCTCCACCTCCCGGACTGGTCCCTGAATCCCCTTGAGGAAACTCTTCCACAGCCAGTGCTGAAGAGTTTTGTTACAGTTTTAATCATAGTGAAGGGCTGGAAAATAAACTAACAGTAACTCCACTTTTAGGCTTGGCTTAATCTATATATTAGTTTAAAAGGTAAAGTAAATGTCAATATTAAAGTGGCTTACGTCGTTAGTTTGTGGGTTGATGTCAAATCCTTCTACCGCAAGGCTTTCTCCAATGAGTGCATTTGTCAAATAAGACTTGCCAACTCCTGTCTTGCCACTCAGAAGGATATTAACTGTCTGGCCACCGGAACTGACAAACTGTTCGATCTGATACTCCAAGTTTTTGCACCAAATATAATCTGACAAACTTCGTTTGCCTTGGAATCGGAACTTTTCTCTGGGGTCCCTTCCTGTGCCATTCTTGATAACAAAGTCTGAAATAAAATAATATTAATTTTTTTTTAAAGAGGAAGAAAACAAATCATGTATAAATGGACCAATCCATGATAGATTGAGAAGTAGTAAGAAAAATTTAGTAAGCATTACATCGGTTACCAGAGGACATCTTTAAATATTATTTTCGCTTTGCGATTTGTTTATGTGATATATTCATGGCTTCAAGCTCGCTTGACCTTGTGTTTCAAAGAGAATAATTTCGCCATATGGAATGATTTGGTTGTCTGCAAAATCTGAAGCTCGAAAAGTGAAAATATGAGACCTGATCCATATAATTCGTCGTACATAAATATTGAACGATTCACATCACTCAAACCTTCTACCCTTCAGTTCGACTATGAATATTATCACATAGCAAATTGAAAGTATTTCACGGTGCGTGAGTACTGATTGAATTTTCATGTACTTTCTGCTTCGACTATCATAATAGCAGTTTATAACTTTGAGCAAGCACTGAAACATTTACGTTCACTTAACCCACTTTGATAATAAGGCCCACTTTTATCAAAAAGGGTTTTCCGTAGCTTTACGACGAAACTTTATTCCAAAGCCATTGCAGAATCAAAACCAGTGGAAACAAAAGAAGTATTCAACTAAAGATCAACGTGCATCACTTACCCTCGGAAATCGCACCAAGTATGGCACTTCAAAGGAGATTCATATCTACTACTAAACATTTCCGTTGAGCGTGTTTACTACATTTAAGAGAAGAATGCAATCAAGTACTCGAACTGTGTGTGGTTTGCGGCTAAGCAGGCATGATTTGTGTTATTATAAGTGATTCGGTTAAAGATCAACTGTGTTGTTTACCCTGGAGGGTAAATTGCACATTTGCAGAGCTTTCCGTTACTAAATCTTCCATGGGCTGTTTTATCTTGTCAATCGTACTGGAACCCTCCACCGATTGTATTCGCTTTTCGTACGTGATTATACTGCTAAGGATGTGTAACTGAGCTAAGATTTCATATATGCCATTATTTCAAGCACTGTTATTCCAATATAAGTCTTCAGCGTCGTCCGAAATCGCGGAATGTAAAAGAGTGAAGGTAAACATCCTGCTAGTTGCAGCGTGTGGCACTTTCAGTATTGTAAAACTAGTCTTCTGCTCTTTCTTTTAGGAAACACGTTGATGACTGGCTGCCGTTTAATCGGTTATACTCGAAAGGTTTCTCATGCTAGTCTGAGTTCGGGTTTTTATTATCTGATTTTCAAATGGTATACGGAAATACTACTGATTTTACGCTGATTTAACGCCGATTGGATGAAAATGATCACGTTACTCGGTCACTTACCGTTTTGAAACTGCTGTGTCCAACGCGAAGTGATTGAAGCTTTCAGTTCGACAGATGCGTTAACGCCTTGATTGCATGCACGGTTGAACTCGTTGCAGCTTAGAATTAGTGTCTAGCGGGGGGGGAGGGAAGGGGAAGGGGAAGGGGGGGAAAGAGACTGGGGGTTGGGCAAAGCCTCCTGTACTTTTGTGTTGCTCTGCCTCCCGCCTCCCGTACTTTTGTGTTGCTCTGCCTCCCGAATCCCGCCCTTTATTTTATTACCCCCGCCTTCAGGTGAATAGGCAGCTAAAACCATACATCAACGAAACGATATAAAATACAAGAAATCCTATACGATTGTGGATATACAGCGATAGTAAAGTATTAGTACTCTGCAGAGCCTTTCGGGGGAGGGGGAGAACTTTCTTATGACACAACCAAAATCCTCACATTTCGCTATTCCGCCCCAGGCGATAAATAATGGTCGGTCTCATAGAGATTAGAAGCTTGATAGTAAACACGCGCAAGTAGGGACATAGAATAAACAGATTCAAGCTGGCCTTGTCTGCTCTTCAGAACTGTATAGTGAGGACATTAAACAAAGAAGGATTCGGACCAGGCTTTCTCCTTTCAAAGTTCACACACGCCTGGTAAATACTTTTGTCCGTCTCTTCTCGCATAATTCAGGCACGGAAATGAAAACTCTAATCCTTTCCTTTTGATGGTATTACTAGGAACACCAATTAAAGACAAATCACAAATGACATTTTTCAAAGTTTAATTCATCGGTCCTCTGAATCAAATCGCTTCATTGTACTCAACAACTTTATATGCAGATGCTTGAAACTCGTCTTATCTTGTAACAAAAAATCGCTTGGACCTCTGCCGAGCCTACATATAACATGCAATCTATCTGAACCTTTATTCTACAGCACGTTTGATTTCCGAATCGTAGCATGAACCTTTTAAGGATACAGAGTTCATTCTTGTTAATAGATTATACGTTCAAAGTCTAACTGGCTGATATTTTTAATGGCACACAGTTTTTCTTTTTTTTCACCCTTTAGGTCACCATCTAATCATTTCTACACGCCTTCTGGTCACACCTTTGAAGCTAAAATGGATCAGGAAGTTGGGTAAGACTTCTTCAGGTACTTTGTTAGTCGGCCGAAGAATGTTTGGTACTTTCTATCAAACTTATCACCGGCCAGCTCATCGACGAATTGCCCTGGTACATCGCCCAACATCTCCTTAATGAGTTCTTCAGAGTGCGTTTCATCCACATTGATGGAGGGACCTGACACCTTTGCATCTTGGCCAGGTGATGTAAGGCACTCCTCTTCAGGTTCATCAAACTCAGTTTTCTCCAAACAGCCGCTCAATCTTTTGTCAAAGTCGCTCTTTTTCAATTTTGCTCTGAATTCTTTCATTGCATTACTTTCTTCCATGGATACGTTACTGGACTGGCCAAGATTGACAACGTTGCCATCTTTCCTTACTCTGCTTTCTTCGTTTCCCTCACCAAAGGTGGAAGAAAGTGAAATACGGTCGACATTTGCCATTAGGAAAGCAGCCTTTGCGTTCCTGTTGATACGTTTGAAAGCTGCGATCCAAAATGCTGTTAACCAGTCTTCTCTATCTGGAAGTCTTGGATCATCCAACTCCCCGGCTGGCGTAAATGGCAGATTAGTCACTGTTATCTCAGGTACTCCGATAGCAACCAAATGTTTCTTTATCGCTTTCTTGAAAGCTAAAAAGCGGTTATTGAAAAAGGTTACTTCAGGTACGTTATCTTTCTTTTTGGCTGGCAATAGTGAGACTTCGTTGGCAAAGGTTAAAACCACCAGAGCATGTTGCCAAAGTTTCTCCCCCAAGGCTTCTGTAAGCTTCTTTATTGTTTCCAAGTCGTCGGTGCGGAATCTCCGACTGGTCATCTCAGTGCAAAACAGAAACAGGTCGAAGTGGTTTACTTTCTCATTGATTTTCCGCAAGTATTCTTCATCATTGCCGGTTGCGTCTGCAAGTCCTGGAGTGTCGAAAACTGTGATGCTTACACCGTTTTTGACAACCTCGAAAGCAGTTACCTGAGGGACATGAAACAGATGATTAATACAACACTCAATTCTAACAATGATTTCATTATGATATGTCTTGGTATGTTACCTCAGTTGCGGGAGAAAAATGCATGAAAAAGTTTTATTCAAAGGAAAGCCCCATCTGTACTAAGAGAGACTGGAAACTGGTTTTTTCGTATTCTTCGGATGACTTTCTACCTCATACCCATAAATGCATTCAATAATTTGCTCTTGATTTCGAGTATCAAAGATGGGACTCTTCGGAAGAAAATAAAAAAAGCGGGAGTTTAGACATGCTGCTGCTGAGAAGGACGCGACACATTATTGCTTTTGCTATCTTCAAGTAATCCACAGTAACCCGTTAATGAAATCACCTCATAATAGTTTAAAAGGTTGAGTAACTGTCAATATCAAAGGAGCTTACGTTATCAGTTTGTGGGTCGATGTCATATCCTTCTACTGCAAGGCTTTCTCCAAGGAGCGCATTTGTCAAATAAGACTTGCCAACTCCTGTCTTTCCACTCAGGAGGATATTAACTGTCTGGCCACCGGAACTGACAAACTGGTTCAACTGATACTCCAAGTGTTTTTCACCAAATATAATCTGACTAACTTCACTTGCCGAGGAACCGGACCTTTTCTCTGGGGTCCCTTCCTGTGCCATTCTTGATAACAAAGTCTGAAATAAGATAATATTTATTAGTAAAAAGAGGAAGAAAACAAAGCAAGTGTAAATTGAACAAACCATGATAGATAGAAGAGTAGTTAAAATAATTTAGTAAGCATTGTCAAAATAATAATACGCTGTTTCAGTTTCCTCGGCAAAAAGTGTATACATCAGTTACCAGAGGACACCTGTAAATATTTTTTTCGCTTTGCGATTTGTTTATGTGATATATTCATGGCTTCAAGCTAGCTTGACCTTGTGTTTGAAAGGGAATAGTTTCGCCATATTGAATCATATGGTTGTCTACAAAATCTTAAATTCGAAAAGTGACAACATGAGACCCGATCCATATAATTCGTCGTATAAAAAGATTGAGCAATTCACTTCACTTAAAGCTTCTACCCTTCAGTTCTACTATGAATATTATCAAGGATCTAGAGCAAATTGAATATATTTTACGATGCGTGAGTACTGATCAAATATTCATGTACTTTCTGCTTCGAATATCATAGTAACAGTTCATAACTTTGAGCAAGCGCTGAAACATTTTCGTTCACTTAACCCACTTTGATAAAAAGGCCCCTTTTGTCAAAGAGAGTTTTCCGTAGCTTTACGACGTAACTTTATTCCAAGACCATTGCAGAATCAAAACCAGTGGAAACGAAAGAATTATTCAACAAAAGATCAACATGCATCACTTATTCTCGGAAATCGTACCAAGCATGGCACTTCAAAGGAGAGTCATATATATTCTATTAAACATTTCCGTCGAGCGTGTTTACTACATTTAAGAGAAGAATGCAATCAAATACTCGAATTGTATGTGGTTTGCACCTTAGTAGGCATACTTTGTGTATATTATGTGCGTCGGCTAGG